CAGTGTGTGCTGCGGGATGCTGAGCGAGGCACTGCATGTCTGCTGGCTGTGAGCCCCGCTGTCCTCCCTGACGCTACGAGGGTAGAGAGAAAAGCTCTGACCTTGCACCCTAATGAAGGGATCGCTCTGAAGCTGGTTGACTGTCCTTTAAAGAATACTTTTCTCTAAGTTATTTACAAAGTGCAGCCCAGCAATCTGTCAAAGACTCTGGAGAGAGGAACTGATCTGTTACTGAGGTCAGATTCTTACCTTCGGCTTTTAGCAGATCTATTTTTGTAATGACGAACGTTTGCGAGTAAAATAAAAGGAACCCCTTTCTCCTCCTCCAGGGCCCCATACCTTGCAGCCTTCACACGCATGAACCCCATAATGGTAGCCTGAGGCTTTGTCCCCACAGATCCTGCACTCAATGTTCAATGCTGCGCTGGAAGACTCATCGGCGCTACCAGGAGCCATGGGATAAGTGACCGATGAAGGACTTGAAGCCGGTGAAAGGGTGTCTGAGAACAGACAGCAAAGGTTGATGAGTTTTCAAGGCATCCCCAGCCTATGTCTCAATTGTTGATGAGAACAGGATTTCGCATGAGAGGTTTTCAGTGGGAAGGCATCAGCTAGTAGGCAGAGCTTCCATCCTGAGTCGGCCCCTGTCCTGGGCCCTCCCACTCCCTCTGCGCTCTTAGGACTACCCACCGTGCTGCCATTGCCAAAGCACCTGCCGATCTGTCCCTGGGTTCTGGACCCACAGATCTTGTCTCACAGACACCTCCCCCCATGGGTCTCCCTAAGTCCTCATACTTGACATGCCCTAGAGAACTTGTTACTTTGTCTGCTTCCTTCCAGCTTTTCTGCAATTTTTAACTCAGTAAATTGTACCAGAATGCAGTATAAAAATCCATGTGGGCAACACCAAAAGCATAATCCATGAAAGAAAAAATAAAGTTGGACATTCTTAAAATTAAAACTTTTGCTCTGCAAAAGATAGTGTTGACACTGTTAATGAAAACTAAAAGAAAATATTGCAAAACACACATTTGATAAAAGACTTATAACTAAAATATACAAAGAAGTCTTTTTAACAGAAATAAAACAATTCAAAAAATAGGCAAAAGGCCTGGACTGACACTCTACTGAAGAGGATACACAGATTGCAAGTCAGCATATGAAAAGATGCTCCACATTGGTCATTATGAAATTATGAACTGAAACAATAGTGAGACATTACTATATAGCTATTAGAATGGCTAAAATCCAAAAAACTGACACCACCAATTGCTGGCAAGGATGTGGAGCCATGAGAACTCTCATTCACTGCTGGTGGGAACACGAAATGGTGCAGCCACTTTGGAGGGCAGTTTGGCAGTTTCTTATGAAGCAACACGTCTTATGGGAATTACATTCCTAAATATTTAGCCAAGTGATGTGAAAACTGAAATCCACACAGAAATCTACACATGAATCTTAACTGCCTGAATCAGAAGCAACCAAGAGGCCCTTTGACAGGTCAGTGAATAAACAAAGAGCCAGCCCCAAAAGCCTCCACTATCTATGATTCTGAATACCTGACATTTTGGGAGAGGCAGAACTAGAGCGATACTAAGAAGATGCATTGCTGGGGTGGGCATGGGGAAGATGGGATTGAAGAGGTGAACGGAAGGGGATTTTGGAAAGCCTGAAACTATTCATATGAAAATGTAATGGTGGCTACATGATACAACTTATTTGTCAAAGCCCACAGAACTTTACAGTACAGAGTGAACCTTAATGTTGCAAATAAAACAAAAGTAATTCAGGAGCTCAGGGGCTCCCGGGATGGAATGTAACTGTATTATGCATGAATCGAGCTCACTGAAGATGGTGGGGGTGGCGCTGACCAAAGGAACCTTGGAAATGAGCAGAGTCTGTAAGACTAAAGGCAAAAGAGACCGACTGTCTGTCCTGCCCGTTAGCTGGTAGAGTACCTAACAGGGGTATGGCTTACAAGTCCGACATCGCTATGAATGTACACTGGGAATGAACAATTAAGAGAATGGTGGATGGTGGGAGCTGGGTTTCTCACTTTTGGAGTGGGAGGATATGGATAAGCAAAAAGAGGTTAGGATGATGGATGAGAGTTCCAGATACCAGTATGAACTCAGGCTTACCTTAATACGGATAAAGGTGGCCAACTATGGAAACAGTTACAGATATGTGTACATACAAGGTTTAGAATATATACATATATGTCCTTGCTGTCGGCTTAGAGAGCCTAAGAGAAAAGACAGTCCAGTAATAACCTGATATGATCAGAGGGGATAATACCCACAACTCGCACGGAGCTGGATGTAGCCCTGATGTCGCCGCTCACCGTGGGAAAGTCTCAGAATTCTCTGGGCGTTTGGTAAAGGACCCAAAAGGGCTTTGCCTTAGCAGTCAGGAAAAACTACCTCTAGAATCAACGCTGCTATAGTCCCATCTAACGAAGCTTACAAACACGACCTGAAAGGATAAAACATCTTCCAAGTAACTCAACTGCATCCTAGAATAAAACTCAGGAAAATTTATAGGAATACAAAAACATCCACTGCTAACACAGCCCACAATGCATGGCATCCAATAAAAAAAATTACAACACTGCATGAAGAAGCAGAAAATATGACCCATGATAAGGAGAAAATCGGTGAACTGAAACTGACCCAAAAATGATACAAATGATAGATCTGGTGGACAAGATATTTTAAAAAGTTATTATAATTGTATCCTAAATGTTCAAGAAACTGGATGAAAGACTGAACATGTTAGGCAAACACAGGGGGTGTAAAAAGAACCAAATCATGTTTCCAGTGATGAAAACTGTAATATTGACATGAAAAACACATCGAATGGGAAAAGGAGCAGAGCAGACATTGTGGAAGAAAGATTAGTAGACTTGAAGATGTAGCCTAGTAAACTAAAATGAAACAGAGAGAAATAAGACCGAAAAAAGAAGAAAAAGAAGAAAAGATGGTTTCATCTGTGAAATCTACCGAGCATTTACGAAAGAAAATCAATTCTACAGAAATACTTCCAAGAAACTGAAGATGAAGAAATACTTCCTAAGTCATCCATGAGGCCAGCATTGTCATCTGATACTAAAACCAGACAAAGACTTTACGAGAAAAGAAAACTAGAACCAATATACCTCACGTACACAGACACAAAAATTCTCAACACAATGTTAGCAAGTTAAATCCAATGATACACAAAGAGGGTAATACATGATGGCCAAGTGGGTTTTATGATGGGAATGCAAGGTGGTCTCGACCTTCGAAAATCAAACAATAGAACTCATTACATTAATAAACTAAAAAAGAAAAAAATCACTTGATTATCTTACTAGACGCAGAAAAAGTATCTGACGAAAGTCCAACATCAATTCTTGATAAAAACTCACATAAAACTAGGATTGGCAAGGATCCTCCTCAACCTAATAAAGCACACCTACGAAGAACCACAGCCAACATCATACTTCTCAGTGAAAGACTTTCCCCTAAGATCAGAGGCAAAGTGTCTGTTCAGCATTGTACCGGAGGTTCTAATCTGTGGATAAGGCAAAAAAAAATAAAAGGCATCCAGCTCGAAAAGGAAGAAAACAGCCTTCACGTACAGATGACACAATTATCCATGTAGAAAATCCTAAAGAATCTATGTAAAAAACTACCAGAACTAATCAGATTAGCAAGGGTGTGGGATACAAGATCAATATTCACAAATCAATTGTATTTTTTTCTAAATAGCAATGAAAGATCAGAAATGGAAATTTGAAAAATGCCATTTACAATACCATCGAAAATATGAAACACTTAGCAATAAATCTGACCAAAAAACGTGAAAGACCTGTACGCTAAAAACCACAAAATGCTGCTGAGTGAAATTAAAGAGGACCTAAAGTAAATAGAGAGAAATAAGTTCACGGTTTGAAAGACTTCGTATTGTTAAGATGTCAATTCTCCCCACATTAACTATAGACTCAACACGAACCCAATCCAAAGCTCAGCAGGCTTTTTGTTATAATTTGACAAACTAGTTCTAAAATGAATATGGAAATGAAAAGGACCTCAAAGGCTTAAAACATCTTCAGAAAAGAAATAAAGTTGGGGAGGTTATGCTACCTAACTTCAGGCCCCATCATAAAGCTACAGTCATCAGGAATCTGTGGTACTGGCATCAAATGAGACGAAGACAATGGAACTGAAGGAAGAATCCAGAAATAGACCTGTGCGTACATGGTCAGTTGGTTCTTGACAAAGGTACAAAGGCAATTTAGTGGAGACAGCAGACTTTTTCATAAACTGTACTAGAACAATTATAAATATAAAAAGAGAAAAGAGTTTTGATCCACATATAAAAATTAACTCAGTGAATCGTAGATATCAATTTAAACCTCGAAATATAAAACTTCTAGGAGTGATTTGGGATCAGGCAGTGATTTCTTAGATATGACACAAAAAGCATGATCCATGAAAGAAAAAAACATTGATATACTGGACTTCAGAATAATTAAGGACTTAGGCTTTTTAAAAGATACTGTTAAGGGAAAGAAAAGACAAACCGCAGACTGGGAGAAAAATGTATCTATCTGGTGTTTAATAAAGAACTTGTTTCCAGAATGGACAGATAACTCTCAACAGAGTTATTTAAATTGAGAAAACAACTCAATTTAAAAATGGGCCAAGATTTGAACAGAAACTTCACCGAAGAAGACACGTGGCAAATAAGAGTGTGAAAAGATGCTCCGCGTCCCTTGTTCCCTACGCTTCGCTCTCACAAACACGGCTGCAGTCAGGCCCTTGCACATGCCTCCTTTCAGCGACTGCTCCCAGCGGGCGTGCTGGGCTTTGGGGCGCACATATTTTCGATGGCTCTCGGAGTTCACCCGTGTGCACTGCTTCCAGCAGTGTCAACGCTCCCTTTCCCACGGTCACTAAAGCTAGTGCACTGCCATGAAAACCATCTTCCTGGAAGTGAGAATGAGCGAGAAGACAGCTGGGGGAAACGTGATCCAGGCCAAGACCTCAACAAGGGGGCCCGTGGAGAGGGCAGAACCCTGAGACCTGTCACCAAACACTGCCATGGAGGACCTTCTTCAATGCCCTCTCAAAGCCGGAACCCACATACACGCCTCGTTCCCAGCATGAGCTTTTCCCCATGGCCAGCCCCGATCCAACGCCCTCAGTCCTGACCCAAGCCACACTCTGCCCAGAAGCCCTGTGGAGTCCAGTCCACCTAGACAGAGCCTCCTTCAGATTGAGGTGCAGTTTATACCACATGATCCTGGGTTGGCTGAAATGCCACCGAGCAGGACAAACTGTCTCCCGATGTCTTCTTTCCCAGTGATGCCACAGGTAACATTACCCGAGCACAGCCCATGTTTCATCTGTCTTGTCATTCTTAATGCAAGAAGTGGGGAGATGGTTCATATACATTTCCAGATTCAAAAAGGAGTCATTTTTTTTACAATAGGGTTCTCTGCTTTAAAAAAAATATAAATTCATGGCATTTTTGAAAAATGCATCTGGTTGCCTTAACTGAATTTCAAACGTTACTTGATTTGTGTATGGGTTTTAAAAGAGGGCATCCTAAGAGATGCGAGATACACCCACAGCCCCAAGGCCCACGGCAGTGAATGTCACCTTTTCTAGCTAAAGTGAACAATTTTCTCTACGGAAAAACATTTCTAAATAAAGCTTTCTAAGAAAGAGCATACTCACCTGTAATGACGGATCCATCTGATCCTGGACCACTTCCTAAATACTGGTATTCTGTAAAACTAAAGCTTCCAGAACTGTCCTCACCCAAGGATTGAGAAATCTCTTGGATGGTTCCCATTTCTTGCAGGAATTCTTCAGATAATGGGCTTTCCAGATCATCAGCCTCAAGTGGGGAGAGGGGACAGATTGGGCTTTCTGTGTCCACCATCTTGACTCAACAGTGCCCGTCACGCAAGTGAATGCCAGCCTACTGGAGGAGAGAGAAATGACCGGTAAAAGCAACATAGGACATTGGTTTTCTGTTAATGAAAACATCATTTATCAATGAAGACATACGTGAATTCATAATCTAAGAAGTAACACTGTTGACCATCTTTTCTTGGCTTGGCTTCAGTCTTGATAAACCCACTAATAAATGAAAACTTTTCAACAAAACGTCTAAGGTGCCATCACCGACCATGCCGGGACTGAGTCACTCACTCATCACTGTGTGCTGAGCTCAATCCACCGTCACTGAAGTGGACAAAACAGCAACGTACACAAAGTCCCTGTTCTCTTAGGACACCATTCTGGTGGGGACACAGACAGTGAACAAATAAATAACGTATGGCATGTCTGATGGCGATTCGATAACAGAGTAGCTGGATGGGAAATACAGGCAGGCCAGGGAAGGCCTCGCTGACTGGGAGACAGTGAGAGCTGAAGGAACGACAGAGTGAGCTATATGGGAGTCAGGAGAGGAATGTTCCAGCAAGTCAGACAGCAAATAGGATGGCGGCACGCCCGCTGGTACCTCCTAGGGACGAGCGGGCCAGTGTGCCTCAGGTGGAGGGGGCAGGGGGACGGCAGGAGAAATGAGCAGTCAGCACGCATACTGGGTGCGATACTGTATGTTCTCCTGTACCCTTGGGGTGACCTGAGCAGGCACACTTGAAAAATGACTGTGCCGTAATAAACACATCGCACTTTGAAAAGTCTCCATACATAGGTGAGTGCCCATAGAAGCTGGACTGTTTCAAATCAAGCGAAAGACCATTTTCCACGCGGATGCTTTGATGGGCTGGACTGTGTCCCCCCAAATTCATGTACTGGAGCCCTCACCCCAGGACCTTAGAATATGGCCACCTCGGTAAATAATAAAGAGGTGATACACGAAATGAGGTCTTCAGAGTGGGCCCTAATCCAAGCTGACTGGCATCCCTGTAAGAAGGAGAAACTGGGACTCACAAAAAGACCAGTGATGCGCAAGCACAACGGGAGGGCCAGGTGTGGGAGTGGCGGGGGTGGGGGAGAACC